CTGATGGAAAGGGATCTGACTATGCTGTGGATGCCTCAGCCTGTGTCCAATGAGACCTGCAGAGGAGCCATTACTGGCCACCCCAGGAGACCCCTTTCAGATGCAACATCTGGACAATCCCTGGGCTCATTCCAGCAGTCAGAGCATCCCACCTGCCTGCAAAGCTCCAGCAGCATCTCCACCACAGCTGCTGAAGCTGCCACCAAGGCCAGAGCTGCACATCAGGAGCAGCATCAGTGGCTGGGGCTGGGAGGAGCAGCCCAGAGCTGCAGGGTGCAGAGGTGACCTTGGGGTGCAGCTCCCAGCCCCCCTGCAGCAGCACCTTGGCAAAGGGCTCTGAGGCTGCACAGCCTTGGGACCTGTCCCTGCTGCCATGCACAACCCAGCTGGCAGGAAAAGGCCCCAGAAACTTCTTTGACCAGGACTCATTAAATCCTGCTGGGAAGATCCAGACTGTGGGCAGAAGGATTAAAAAGCCTGACATTAATTAACAAATCTCTCCCCAGAGCTGCTGGTCAGGCATTTTGCTGCTCTGGAGAGGAGGGCACGTGGAGGGCAGGTGGCAGGGCAGAGAGGACACTGCTGGTGAGAACCCAGCTCCAGCCCCAGGGCCACCAGCTGCTCCCAGCATGGCTGGGGGTGCACCAAGGGACCCCCCACCAGGGGAGCTGAGCACAGGCTCTGCCCCAAAACACCAGACCCCTTTCTGAAACCAGCAGGAGGAAAGAGGAGTGGACCCTGGATTGGGACCTACAAATGGCCTACAAGAAAGCTCCAGAGGGACTTTGGGCAAGGGCAGGAGTAATAGGAGAAGGGGGGAAGAGCTTTAAGCTAGAAGAGGAAGATTTAGGTGAGACATTAGGAAGAAATTGTTTATAATGAGGGTGGTGAAATGCTGGAACAGGTTTCCCAGGGAAGCTGTGGCTGTCCCATCCCTGGAAGTGTTGAAGGGCAGGTTGGATGGGGCTTGGAGCAGCCTGGGCTGGTGGGAGGTGTCCCTGCCCATGCAGGGGAGTTGGATCTAGATGATCTTGAAGGTCCTTCCAACCCAAACCAGTCTGGGATTCTAGGGGGTTCCTGCAGAAGGAGGGTCCCATCGGTTTCCCAGGACAAGGAGGACACTGCAAGTCCAGCTTAAACCAAGGTGATGATTCAAGAAGTCATTCTCCAACTTTCTTCTCAGCAGAACATGAGGCAACGAGGACCATGAAGCCCACTAGAGGCTCAGCTCTAGCATCCCCCAGCAGCCCAGTGGGCCCTGCCTGCCACAGGCTCCTCCGCTGAGGTATCAAACCCATAATGACTCATTTCCCTTTTGTGACCACAAATCAATTGTAATAATGGCTTAATGTAGCTGAAGGATCTCCAAATCCTCCCTGATCCCCCACCATGTCAGGAGAAAATCCGATCTCGTTATTAAAATCGGTGATTACTCCCAGCATCGCTCCAGACCCTCCAACTGGGATGGGGGAGGAGCTAAAAAACCCAACCAAACCCTGACTTTTAACTCCCTGGTTGGCAAACCAGTTGGGGGCTGCCAGGATCTGCCCACCCCCACATCTCCTTGCCATGGAGGTACCTCTCCTACCCCTCAAGAGATGCACCGGGGGGTCCTCACTGGGGTGGGGAGGAGAAGAAGGTGGAGGAGGAGAAAGAGGAGAAGGAAGAAGAAAAGGAGAAAGAGGACTAGGACTGATTGCAGCAAATCCAAGATCATGGTGGCAACATTCCTGGGAGTCTTTGTGTTTTATACACACTTTCTTCAATCAAATTCCTCCCTGGGACCTGGTGTGGGTAAATAACTGCTCTTTAATTATCACAGCATCAAAGGTCCCACTATAATGCTTATTAAGTGACACTTAGGGGCAGATAATCCAGCCTATTTTGGACCCCTCCATTTAATCTTTCCTTTCTGGCAAAGGTCCTGGAGTCGATGCCCACATCCCCAGCATTTTTCCTTCTGCAGAATGAATGTTTATGGAAAAATCTCCAGATGGACACCCAGGTTGGACAGGCCAAGTCAGCCTCTTCTTTAGGTCCTTAATGCTCCCTTTAAAGTTCCTCAAGGCCTTTGAGCTTCTCCAGTCCATCTAATCCCACTCCTCCTCATGCCAACGTCGCAGTTCTCAACTTCTCAGGCTATAATCTCACTCCTTGGCCCACAGGTCAAGGGGTGTCCTGGCTAATCTGGTTGTTGAGCCCAACTCTAATCATCTCCGGTGCATCCTGACCCTGGTGGCCACCGCGTCGCGCTCCCGGCACAGAGAGAACCCTCCCACTTTGTGCCTAAGCTTGCAATGTTCAATTACTTTTCCCTTAATCCCCCTGTTGATCTGGAGGCCCTGGCCAGCTTTTTTTTTTTTTCCTAGCTGGAGGAAGGGACAGATTGGAGGTGAATCACTTGCTGCCCTGTCCTGGAGAAGATGAAGGTCAAGATAATGGGATCTCCGTGTTTCTGAGAAATGCTCCTTAATCAGCACTTCCCTTTGATGGCTGCTCTTTAATGCAAAGTTCAGGGTTTAAGGAGCTGCCAGGTAACCCCTTTGAACTTCTGCTGAGGTTCACATGTAGGTTTCCACCTAAAGCCACAGAGCAACAGACCTGGGGCCAAACGCTGACCTGCCACGCCGGCACCGAGCGGGCTGATGCTGCTGAGGAAACTGCTGGGATAACACCTACACCTGAACATGAAACCCAAGGAGGCACCTTTTTCTTCCCCAAAGCACCCCATGTTCTGAGCAGCTACACCTGCGACAGACACAGGGCTCTGTCCTCAGCAGAGAGGGAGGATTTCTGGCTGACAATCACTGGTCTTGGATGTTTCAAGCCTCTCAAGAGAGGATGAAGCAACCTGGTGGTGGCATTAGAAACCCCACATGGTTATACCTCCATGGAGCACATCACAAGACCCTGAAGAGGGTCTGCAAGAGCCTGTGAAGACCTACTGGCCACAGACTGGGAGAAAGGAGGAGAACTGGGACCCAGCAACATGGCTATTGGTGGGCTGCAACATATGTGCTCGTCCAGAGGTTGGCAACCTCTGGAAGAGGAGTTCCCAGCCAGGCTTTTCTGGGTCTCCTCCTTTAATGAGCTAATCTAACCCAACAGCTCAAATCCCATCAACTCAACCAAATCCACCTCTGGAGATTAAAACATATTCACCAAGCAAAGACATTTTTCTCTGAGCTCCCATGAGCCTCATGAACAGAAGACCAGGGGAAGAGTCAGCACAGCAGAAAACCCCAATGCCCAAGAGCTGAAAACATCCAAGAATGAGTCTGTAATTATCCTCAGGTCTCAGGAGATCTGATCTTGTTTCTCTGGTGTGCTGGATTTCTCAGGAGGGGTCCCCAGATGGTCACCCAGGGACCTCACTGAGGGGCCCATAGCTGCTCTGTGGGATGTTGGGCTGTGCTGACAATTACAAATCGTGAAGGAGGTTTTGTTGTGGTGGACCCTGAGAAATCCTGGTGCAGAACTGCAATGTTATATAGGCTCTGTGAAAGGGCACCAATGTTTATGCCACGGGGCACAGAGAGGTCAGCTGAGATGCTCTGCTGGATCCTTTTTGGCTGAGTTGCCTGAACCTGTGACTATTTCTCACGTTTTGATGGAGATGAGCATCTCTTTTTCCTTCTCTTCCACCCTTTGATGTTGAGAGCACCAGGAAGGGCATCTGACTCGCCTGCTGCTCAGACTCTTACCCCTGGGCCAGACTTTCCCAAAACAACCCACACAGCCCATCCCCAGGAGAGCAGCAACGCCCTGTGTCACCCATCAGGGTGGCTTCCCAGGACACCCTGCCCGTGGCAGGGCAGGCAGCTGGGAAAGGCTTGGCATTGCATTATGTTATTAATCGTTACAATATATATTGAATTAATTCAGAAAATTCTGGAAAAAAAAGAAAAACAAAGGTCTTTTTCTCCCCCTGCACCCTCTGCCCAGGGGAGGGGCTCTGGCCACGGGTGCTCTCAGCCCTGCAGCTGCTCCCCAGCCACGGGGAATTCACGGAGACTTTGATTTGAACCTCCCAGCTCCAAAAGGTGCTGCTGTGGCTGCTTCTCCCGGGCAGGCACAGGAATCAGTGACATATCAGATGTCACCCAGAGAGGCCCACCACCACCCCCATGCCAGGAGGGATGGTGGAGATGCCCCAGCCCACCCCAGGGAGCCTGGCAGGGGCTCAGTGCTCACCCAGCCCGTTGGCACAGTCGTAGAAGTCGAAGGAATGAGCGGTTCGGTCCATCCCGTACGGTCCCATGAGCGTCCTGGGAGAGAGGAGAGAAGCATCCTTCTTTCATGGGCTCAAAAAAAGGAGGTGCCCACCCAACATGCACACCAGCACATCCATCCCACCACCCCCCATGCCCACCAAAGGGTGTAGACACAGAGGTTGAGGGACACAGCCCTGCACTGGCAGAGATCAACCCCCTCCACCCTCCCCCTGAAGTTTGTACAGATAAATGAGAGAATATGTGCAGGGTTGGACATCATCCTCCCCACCCAGCAAATCTGATGGACCTGTCTGTGCTTCATTACCCCAGATTAACGAGGCTGGACAGCTGTCCAGCTCCCGGGAAATGAGATCAGAGCTCCAACCAGTGTTCCCAGAATAAACCCATTTCACAAGTGCAGGCAGCCTGTGATGAAGGCAACCAGGCATGGTCTGCACCCTGGGGTCTGGAAGGCAGGATGAGTCTCCATCCCTTGGGTAGGGGGTGTGGAAAAGGGGGACACAAGGTCTGCCAAGCTGCTCCAGGTCCCCACTTGCCAGATGGAGGGTGGGAGCTTCTTCTCACAAGTTAGAGCAGGTGGAAGAGAATCGTACACCTGAGTTTCCCCTCTGCCAAGTAACTCACCCAACTGCCCCAACATCTCCCTGTAAACACCTTCTGCCAAGGTGGGTGTCCCAAATGGCACTGAAAATGCCTGGCTGCCTAGCTGGGCACCCTGGACTCCAGACCTGGGACCACTGGGCACTTCTCCTCCTTGGGTGGCCCATGGTGGTCACCCTGGTAAGGATGGGTGGCCACAAGGATGGGTGGACCTTGATGTGAGAAACCCAGATCCAGGTGGGAAACCAGAGCTGAGGAGCTCCCCAAACACTCCACTTCCCAGGATTTAAGGTGCAAGAGAAAAGGAGTTTCCAAATCAATATCGGATCCCAAATCCAGATGCAGCTGAGGAGGGACAACACGGTGGGGCACAACGGGCTCCTCCAAGTCCAGCAAGACACAGGGGAGGTAGGAATCTCAGGGACTTCACTTTGAAGGCACCCAAAATACCTCCCAAAATATCAAGCTGCAACACCCATCTCCAAGATTTGGACTGGAAGCTTTTCCTCCTCGTTACAAACAATCCCCCTTGACATTCTGGTGATATTTCAGGTATAGAGGAGCCCGAGCAAACAACTGGCCACATCTGGCTGTTGGAAAATGAAGCCTGAAGATGTCCCAGGAAGCCAGAGCAGCCCAGTTCAATTTACCACCCAGGATTTTCAGAGTATTTGGAGTAAATCAGCACGGAAACTCCACCGCGAGGCAACAGAAATAGCTGAAACTGGGCTGAAATGCGACATAAGGAGGGAGATTTGGGGGAAGCAGATCCCTGCTTGATACGATCAACCTTTATCCCCGACGCCACGCACGGAACAGGGGAGCAGGAGCCAGCTTTGCTAACCCCAGGGAGCAAGAGACCCAACCCCAGGGAGCAAGAAACCCAACCCCAGGGAGCAAGAGACCCAACCCCAGCATCTAGTTCTGGTGTCCTTGGCTTCTTCCGCTGCTCCCGCTGCATCCCCACCACCCCAGTCCAGGAGGTGCCACAGCAGGTGACACTTGGCTTGAGGCAACCACTGGGACCCCCCCAAAAGGGTTGTCCTGGTGCCTCCATCCCCTGTCCTGCTTTGGGGGGGGTTACCTGCTGATGATGATGGCTCCCTTGTAAAGGATGGAGACAGTGGGCATCTTGGTAGCAGCAGCAGCCCAGCCCGGCCGGGCACCGGCCACTCTGATTTGGCAAGAATTTGTTAAAATGATGAAGGGGGGGGATAAAAAAAAAAAAGGAGGAAAAAAAAAAAAAGGGGGAGGTCGGAGGAGGTCACGTGGTGTCCCCGGATGCGTGTTAATTCCACCCAATGTTAACACAGATGGGCTCAAAACGTCTCCAACTCTAGATTAAAGCTTACGCAAGCCAAAGGCAACACGGAGCCTGGCAAGAGCCTCCCCAGCAGGGAGGGAGAGGAGGAGGGAGGGGAAGAGGGAAGGAGGGGGCTCCACCAGCCCCCACCCTCCTCTCGGGATGTCCAGTTCCTCCTTAGCACAACAGAGTGATTTCTTTGGATGGATCCCATAGGATGCCTTTGGAAACAGCCCCTTCCAGGGGTGGCTCAGTGCAGGGCATCCCTGCTCGCCAGCCCTGAAGGCTTCAAACCCATGGGAAAGCTTTGGGGGCAACAAGAGACTGTAGCACTTCAGGGCTTGAGTTTGGGGGTTGTGTTTTTTTGGTTTGGAGGTTGTGGTTTTTTGTATTTGGTTTCTTTCAGCACCCTTTCCAGCCCAGGGCTTTTCATCCCAAATGCAGGCAAATCAAAGAAGTGTCATTTGCCTTCAAACAGCTTCTTCCACCCCCATCTCACCACCCATCACCCAGCCAGGGAAGCAACTTGACCCTCATTTTGTGGGATGTGGGGATGAAATGAGGTTATCAGAGGTTGGGAAGCAAGCAGGGACACAGCTGGGAGAAGCCACCTCAGATCTTGGCAGGAGAAGGGCTCTGATCTTCATGGAATCACATAATAGAGTCATAGAATGGTTTGGGTTGGAAAGGACTTTAAAGATCACCAAGTCCCAGCCCCTGCATGGGCAGGGCCACCTCCCACCAGCCCAGGTTGCTCCAAGCCCCATCCAACCTGCCCTTCAACACTGCCAGGGATGGGGCAGCCACAGCTTCCCTGGGCAACCTGGGCCAGGCTCTCACCACCCTCACACCAAAGAATTCCCTCCTCATGTCCAACCTCAATCTCCCCTCTGCCAGTTTTAATCCATCCCCCCTTGTCCTCTCCCTCCCTGCCCTTGTCCCAAGCCCCTCCCCAGCTTTCCTGGAGCCTCTTCAGGCACTGGAAGGTGCTCTAAGGCCTCCCTGGAGCCTTCTCTTCTCCAGGCTGAACTCCCCAACTCTCCCAGCCTGGCTCCAGAGCTGCTCCAGCCTCTGATCATCTCTGTGACCCTTCCACAGTTTCCACACTCAGCATTAAGCATTAAGGTTTTGTCTGGAGCTTGTCCGCCCAAAATTTTTGAAACCAAATCCTTCAGCAGCCCAACCATGGGCCCACCAACCAACTGCTGCCACGGGCTGGAGCAACATCCCACTTGTGAAGCAGCAAAACCACATCTACCTGCCAGGTGGTGAAGTCAATGAAAACCAACTCAAAGTGGCCCCTAAGAAGGAGGAGCAGGGCTCAGCTTCTGAGTTCATCTCCTAAGCCCCAGGTCCTCAACTCCATCCTCTGAAACAGAGTGACCTTGGCAAAAGCATCAGATCCTCCTGCCAATTCACACTTGTCTGCTTGAGAGAAAGGTTTGACAAAAGAGCTTCAGAATTCCAAGTGTTTTCAAACCCAGGCTCATCTTAGGGAAGGATTTAAAAACCACCTCTCCCAGTCCCACTCAGTATAACTAGTGCTGAAGGCAAACATCCCACTGGGAAAGGGGATCACCACATGCTTTTCCCTGAGCTGGGACTTAGCTGAGCAGCTCAGAGTAAATCCAGCTGGAAACCCAGACTTGTCACCCCAGGGAACTGCCAACGAGACTTGACATCTTTAAATAAATGGATATAAATAAACAGAAGGAACATGAGTTAAGCCCAAACTAACACCACAGGGCTGGCCAGTGTGTGAACATGTGGTTGACTGATGTGTCCACCTTCTAGATGACTGGTAGAAAAATCAGGTTTTGTGAAGCTGGGATTTTTTTCTGGTGTGAAAAAAAAAGTTATTTTGGGCTTGAAAAAAGATTTTCAATCTGAAAAGTGGAGTGAAAAAAACCTAACAGTGAGTTTTTCTAGGGTGTAAAAGCAGGGTTGGGTGGAGCTGTGAGTAGAATCAGTCTTTGAGCAGGACCACAAGGACAAAAACACACAGTGACAGCAAAATATGTGGGGACAAACCTTCTAGCAGGGCCTGTAGCAGCAGGACAAGGGGTGATGATTTTCAACTGGGAGAGGGGAGATTTAGGTGACACATGAGGAGGAAATTCTTTGGTGTGAGGGTGGTGAGAGCCTGGCCCAGGTTGCCCAGGGAAGCTGTGGCTGCCCCATCCCTGGCAGTGTTGAAGGGCAGGTTGGATGGGGCTTGGAGCAGCCTGGGCTGGTGGGAGGTGTCCCTGCCCATGCAGGGGGGTGGATCTAGATCATTTTTAAGATCCTTTCCAACCCAAACCAGTCTGGGATTCTATGGTAGCACATCAGGCACATTTTCAACACATTTTCCCAAGAGATTAGGAAGGGGGAAGTGAAGGAAAGAGGACCCAGGAGCTCTGGGGAGCAGCACAGCCAGGGAGCAGGTGACACATCTTTTCATGCAACTTATCCTTCAGCACTGCCTGATGGCCAGGAGACCTGGCAGGCTGGTGCAGCCCAAGCCACAGCTCCTTTGGCAGATGGAAAAGCCATCTTGCCTGAAAGCAGAGCTTCAGAAACCTCCCTAGCACTTCAAAGGAGGTATCTGCCTGCTGGTGGGACAGTGGCACCACGTCCCCAGGAGAACAGGACCTGCCTACATCCCTGTGCCAGAGCTCTTTGCCCCAGGACACCTCTGGACTTCCAGGCTTTGCAGTGATCAGCCCCTGGCCCATAAGGGTGTTTTAAGTCCTTGTGAAGGTCTGCAGGCTCCACAGGAAGGATGTTCTCTCCTGCTTCTCTCCTCCCCTGGCTTTTCCTGGCAGCACACTGTGGATTTGGACTTTTCTCAATATAATGACACCACCCTCCCCCCCACCAGCAGAGTCCCCAGGGCTCCCTCCCCCTCAGCACCCAGGGCAGGACATTCTGGCCTTCTTTAAAAGGCACCATTAGGATCAGAGACATCAAGGAACCATTTAGGTCAGAATGCAACCAAATGGATGAGTTTCTCTCCTAGCCAGCAGAAGGTAACAAGCAGAAGCAATTCACTCCTGTGTTACTGTCCACCTTCCCTTCACCTGCTGCTCAAGGAACCCTCTGGGAAAGCCCCTTTTAGCCTGTCCATGGATAAAAGGCTCTTCTGCATGTCTTGGTCTGTCTCCTGCCTCCTTTGAGGTCTGGCTCCTGCTGTGCCTGTGCCCAACTTGGGGCAGCCTTCTTTGGGTACCTCAGCCCCAAACCCCCCACCCTGCACACTGGGACTTATCCTCTTCCCAAGACACTCAGGCCAGGACTGAATCCTGGCTCCAGACAGGATCCTGAGCTTGGCAGAGCCATGGCACACGGATGCCAGGTTGGGGACAGGCAGGTGGTGGTGACAGCAGAGTCACCAAGCCCACAGGGAGCTTCTGTGCACGGCTTGGCAGAGGAAGAGGGTCTGAGCAGGTTTGTGTGCTTGAGAATTAGATGTGGGAAGAGGTCCTACAGGGGGGGCGGTGGCTGTCTGAGGGCTTCCAGCTCCAGAAAGTGGCAATAAAAAGTTCTGAGGTGGGAAGGTGCAGCATCATGGTCCCTGCCCATGTCCCAGCAAAGTTGGGTGGGAGCCAAGGGTGGCTCAGGCAGCATCAAACACTTGCTTAACAACAACCCAGTATTTGTTTCCCAACAGAACAAAATTAGCACAGGCTAAAGAGGCATTTCCACCTGATTAGAAAGCAGAAAATGCAATGGTGTTGCTCCCAGGATCAGCTACAAAGCAGTGATAATAAACCAAGCACATGGAACCAGCTGCTGGGGAGCAGCCACACGTGCTGTCACAGCCCTGCCCGTGGGGTTTGCCAAGTGTTTTCATGGAGCCACCTCCAACGAGTTCCTGGGACGTTCACAGACAAGT